GTTCCTGGTCCCCTTTCCTATTGGCCTCAGTTGCTTTTAAGGTATCTGCTTTAGTTTCTCTGCGTTGAGGGCAACAAATGCTAGCTAGTTTTTTAGGTGTCTTACCTATCCTCACCCTCCCTTGTGTGCTCTCGCTTTTATCATGTGCTCAAAGTCCAATCCCTTGTTGTGTTTGCCCTTGATCTAATGTCCACATATGAGGGAGAACATACGATTTTTGGTCTTTTGGGCCAGGCTAACCTCACTCAGAATGATGTTCTCCAATTCCATCCATTTACCAGCGAATGATAACATTTCGTTCTTCTTCATGGCTGCATAAAATTCCATTGTGTATAGATACCACATTTTCTTGATCCATTCGTCAGTAGTGGGGCATCTTGGCTGTTTCCATAACTTGGCTATTGTGAATAGTGCTGCAATAAACATGGGTGTGCAGGTGCCTCTGGAGTACACAGTCTTTTGGGTATATCCCAAGAGTGGTATTGCTGGATCAAATGGTAGATCAATGTTTAGCTTTTTAAGTAGCCTCCAAATTTTTTTCCAGAGTGGTTGTACTAGTTTACATTCCCACCAACAGTGTAAGAGGGTTCCTTTTTGCCTGCATCCTCGCCAACACCTGTTGTTGGTGGTGTTGCTAATGATGGCTATTCTAACAGGGGTGAGGTGGAATCTTAGTGTGGTTTTAATTTGCATTTCCTTTATTGCTAGAGATGGTGAGCATTTTTTCATGTGTTTTTGGCCATTTGAATTTCTTCTTTTGAGAAAGTTCTGTTTAGTTCACTTGCCCATTTCTTTATTGGTTCATTAGTTTTGGGAGAATTTAGTTTTTTAAGTTCCCTATATATTCTGGTTATCAGTCCTTTGTCTGATGTGTAGCTGGCAAATATTTTCTCCCACTCTGTGGGTGTTCTCTTCAGTTTAGAGACCATTTCTTTTGTTGAGCAGAAGCTTTTTAGTTTTATGAAGTCCCATTTATCTATGCTATCTCTTAGTTGCTGTGCTGCTGGGGTTTCATTGAGAAAGTTCTTACCTATACCTACTAACTCCAGAGTATTTCCTACTCTTTCCTGTATCAACTTTAGAGTTTGGGTCTGATATTAAGATCCTTGATCCATTTTGAGTTAATTGGTATAGGGTGATATACATGGATCTAGTTTCAGTTTTTTGCAGACTGCTAACCAGTTTTCCCAGCAGTTTTTTTGAAGAGGCTGCTTTTCTCCATCGTATATTTTTAGCTCCTTTGTCAAAGACAAGTTGGTTATAGTTGTGTGGCTTCATATCTGGGTCCTCTATTCTGTTCCACTGGTCTTCATGTCTGTTTTTGTGCCAGTACCATGCTGTTTTTATTGTTATTGCTTTGTAATATAGTTTGAAGTCAGGTATTGTGATACCTCGCATTGTTCTTTTGACTGAGTATTGCCTTGGCTATTCGTGGCCTCTTGTGTTTCCATAAATTTAAGTAGATTTTTCAATCTCTTTAATGAATGTCATTGGAATTTTGATGGGAATTGCATTAAACATGTAGATTACTTTTGGGAGTATAGACATTTTTACTATGTTGATTCTACCAATCCATGAGCATGGGAGATCTCTCCACTTTCTATAGTCTTCCTCAATCTCTTTCTTCAGAAGTGTATAGTTTTCCTTGTAGAGGTCTTCACATCTTTTGTTAGGTTTACACCTAGGTATTTGATTTTTTTGAGGCTATTGTAAATGGAATTGTTTTCATACATTCTTTTCAGTTTGCTCATTGTTAGTGTATAGAAATGCTAATGATTTTTCTATGTTGATTTTATATCCTGCTACCTTGCTATAGCTATTGATGATGTCTAGAGCTTCTGAGTAGAGTTTTTTGGGTCTTTAAGGTATAGGATCATTCGTCTGCAAATAGGGATATTTTGACAGTTTCTTTACCTATTTGTATTCCTTTTATTCCTTCTTCTTGCCTAATTGCTCTGGCTAGGAATTCCAGTACTATGTTGAATAGGAGTGGAGATAGTGGGCATCCTTGTCTTTCCTGATTTTAGAGGGAATGGTTTCAGTTTTTCTCCATTAAGTATAATGCTGGCTGTAGGTTTGTCATATATAGCTTTTATAATGTTGAGGTACTTTCCTTCTATTCCTAGTTTTCTTAGAGCTTTTATCATGAAATGGTGTTGGATCTTATCAAAGGCTTTTTCTGCATCTATTGAGATGATCAAGTGGTTTTTGTCTTTGCTTCTGTTAATGTGGTTTATTACATTTATTGATTTTCGTATGTTGAACCACCCCTGCATCCTGGGATGAAGCCTACTTGGTCGTGGTGAATAATCTTTTTGATGTGTTGTTGAATTCGGTTTGCCATTATTTTTTGAGGATTTTTGCATCAATGTTCATTAAGGAGATTGGCCTATAGTTCTCCTTTTTGGAGGTGTCTTTGCCTGGTTTTGGGATAAGTGTAATACTGGCTTCATAAAATGTGTTTGGCAGTTTTCCTTCCCTTTCTATTTCGTGAACAGTTTAAGGAGGGTTGGTATCAGTTCTTCTTTAAAGGTCTGATAGAATTCAGCAGAGAATCCATCAGGTCCTGGACTTTTCTTTTTGGGAGACTCTTGATTGCTGCTTCAATTTCATTTTGTGTTATAGATCTATTCAGGTGATTAATATCCTCTTGGTTCAGTTTTGGATGATCATAAGTATCTAGAAATCTGTCTATTTCTTTAAGATTTTCGAATTTATTTGAATGTAGGTTGTCAAAGTAGTCTCTGATGATTTCCTGGACTTCCATGGTGTTTATTGTTATCTCCCCTTTTGCATTCCTGATTTTACTGATTTGGGTGTTTTCTCTCCTCATTTCAGTCAGGTTTGCCAAGGGTCTATTGATCTCGTTTATTTTTTCAAAGAACAGGCTTTTGTTTCATTAATTCTCTGTATGGTTTTTTTTGGTTTCTGTTTCATTGATTTCAGCTCTTATTTTTATTATTTCTTTCCTCCTATTTGTTTTGGGATTTGCTTGTTCTTGTTTTTCTAGGAGTTTGAGATGTATCATTAGGTCATTGATTTGGGATCTTTCAGTCTTTTTAATATATGCACTCATGGCTATAAACTTTCCTCTCAGGACTACCTTTGCTGTATCCCATAGGTTCTGGTAGGTTGTGTTTTTATTTTCATTGACTTTCAGGAACTTTTTAATTTCCTCTTTTATTTTATCAATGACCCATTGTTCATTAAGCAATGAGTTATTCAGTTTCCAGCTGTTTGCGTGCTTTATGTCTTTGTTGTTGTTGAGTTCTAGTTTTATTGCATTGTGATCAGATAGCGTACATGGTATAATTTCTGTTTTCTTATATTTGCTGAGGCTTGCTTTGTGCCCTAGAATATGATCTATTTTGGAGAAGGTTCCATGGGCTGCTGAGAAGAATGTATATTGTGTAGAAGTTGGATGAAATGTTCTGTAGACCTCAACTAGGTCCATTTGATCTATGGTATATTTTACAGCTAGGATTTCTTTATTGATTTTTTATGGATATCTATCTATTGATGATAATGGGGTGTTAAAGTCTCTCATGACCACTGTGTTGGAGTTAATATATGCTTTTAGGTCCTTCAGGGTATGTTTGATGAAATTGGGTTTGTTGACATTGGGTGCATACAGGTTGATGATTATTATTTCCTTTTGGTCTATTTCCCCTTTTATTTGTATGGAATGTCCTTCTTTATCTCGTTTGATCAATGTAGGTTTGACGTCTACTTTGTCAGAGATAAGTATTGCTACTCCTGCCTGTTTTGGGGGCCATTGGCTTGGTAAATCTTCTTCCAGCCTTTCATCCTAAGCCTATGCTTATTTCTGTCCGTGAGAATAGTCTCCTGTAAGCAACAAATTGTTGGATCTTCCTTTTTAATCCAGTTCGTCAAATGGTGCCTTTTGATGGGGGAATTAAGCCATTAATATTAGGTGTTAGTACTGATAGGTATGCAGTGATTCCTGTCATTTAGTTGTCTTAGTTGTTTGAAGGTTTGATTGTCTGTACCTAAGTTGAGGTTACTCTCTACTTTCTTGCTTTTTCTTTTCCTATAGTTTGCTGCTGCCTGCCCTTTCATGGTTATGTTGGGTTTCACTTTCTGTGTGCAGAATCCATTGAAGAATCTTTTGTAGTGGTGGCTTTGTGGTCACATATTGTTTTAGTTTCTGCTTATCATGGAAGAGTTTTATTGCTCCATCTATTTTGAATGATAGTTTTCCTAGGATAGTTATCCTAGGGTTGAAGTTATTTTCATTCAGTGCCCGGAAGATCTCACCACAAGCTCTTCTTGCCTTTAATGTTTCTGTTAAGAAGTGTGCTGTGATTTTGATGGGTTTACCTTTGTGTGTTATTTGTTTTTTCTCTCTTACAACCTTCAGTATTCTTTCTTGAGACTCTGTACTTGTTTTAATGATAATATGCTGTGGAATACTTCTATTTTGGTCAGGTCTGTTTGGTGTTCTGGAGGCCTCTTGCATCTGTATGGGCATAGATTTCTCTAGATTTGGGAAATTTTCTGTAATTATTTTATTGAATATATTACACATTCCCTTTGCTTGCACCTCTTGTGCAATGTCTTTGGAAGATAAATCAGGTATAGTTCCTAAGAAATTTTTAGATTTTCCCCATCAGCTCTGGAGGGATTGTTTTCACAGCCACTACACATCTCCATTCCCCAATTAAGAAGACCAAAGATGAATGATTTCTTTATGGAGAAGACTTTCACAGTTTTAATTTCTAATATCATCGTTTTTTATATTGTCCTTCAAGGTATCACTTGTTAATTAATGACTGTGAACAAATTCCATAACAGAATTGCTTTATTTCTCCTTCAGTCTTAAAAATTATATACAATATGTTTCTCTTGTTTAAAGCTAGGAAAGGTTGGCCACAGGTGTGTACCTGCAGGCCCTATGTGAGAATGTGCTCTTCTGCGGGTACACACCTACAGGAGGTTGGGCCCTGGGAACAAATATGTGGGACCCTGAGTGACCTTGTCTTTTCCTACAGGTCTCAGCCACTTTTGCAGCTAGTCTGGTCATCAGTCCAGCCATTGGAGCGTACCTTTCTGCCAGTTATGGAGACAGCCTCGTTGTACTGGTAGCCACAGTGGTGGCTCTTCTAGACATCTGCTTCATCTTGCTGGCTGTTCCAGAATCTCTGCCAGAGAAAATTAGACCTGTTTCCTGGGGAGCTCAAATTTCCTGGAAACAAGCTGACCCTTTTGCGGTAAATTAAAATATGAAATACTAACTTCTCAAATATCTCTCTAAGCTACACAAATAAGAGTATACATGCAGCCTCAAGGATCCCCACAATTATGGATCCATTTCATTTTCTGTTAAAAGTAGGAAAGCTTTAACTACAAGTTAAGGGGCTGAGAGAGTCTGTGCAATAAGAAATATCTATACTTGGTACCTAAGGCAGGCTTGTCATAATGAAGGATGATGGCAGTTTGGGAAGGAAGTTTCATTGACATGGTTCTTTTCATCTTTTTTTTTTTTTTTTTAAACAGAATAAATGAAAGTGGTCATTTGAAATGGATTCACTTTTATTCAAAAATTATAAATGCACTTTGTCTAACTAAGGTAGTTATCTACATCTACTTCAGCCAGAAGCTTTTAGCTTATATTTTTCAAATTTCTTTGTTTTCTATTATATTTTGAGGGAGTTTGGGGGATTGTGTTGCAATAATACCAGAAAAACTGCTGAGGAAAAGTATCTCATTTCCTACCATTACTGCCTTCCCCAAATCTTGAAAGATTCTAGAAAGAAATAAATGCGGGGGGAGAGGGGAGTGACTGAAGTGTGAAGGTCTAGCGAGTGTGAGGCCCTCAGTTGAAACTCCACCCCCCCCCAAAAAAAAAAAAAAAGATGTGCAGGAAGAAAAGAACCAGAGACTATTTTTGGTTTTCATTCCCCCAAATTTAACTTTTAGGAAAAATATGTATAAGAGAGTAATTCATCAGAAATTCTTTACTAAAATGCTTCCTCAGTGCATGACCTCGGGACCTTGCCTATTTTTTTATACCATAATGTCAGACAGCAGAAGACCAATATGGGGAAGCAAGCAAGAGTGGGCTGGGGAGCCAGTTGGTTCATCTTTCCACCTTGCCATGAACTGGTCGAGTTACACATAGAAATGCCTGTGAAGTCTGGGGCTTCTTTTTCAGGGGAGTTAGGAGGATTCCAGTTAAAATGTGTAAATTAACTAGTGTCTTGGCATGCAGCAAGGTTGCAATAAGCATTGGCTACATTTGCTATTGATTACATGAAGTTTATGGGATGGTTGGCTGGAAGCTCTGCAGCACGTTCTATTCCTGCAGTACCAATCCTATGTGAAGGAGTCTTAACAAGCAGGAGTGTTCACAAAGTTCAGAGTAGTTAGGAACATACTTGTCTACCAGGTTTCTAGGTGAATTGAATACCAACAACTTGAAGGATAGAATGGATATGTATAATGAAAGCCCTATAACCAAACATAACTTTACCTTAAAGTGAGTTATAATACAAATAAGAGAGACGTGATTTTCTTAAAGGGTTCTGTAGAAATATTCTCTCAGAGTCTGCTTATGGGATGTTTACAGGATCTGTTTATGGATGTGAGACAGTGTTCACAAAAATGAGCAGTGATTTTAAAAACTGTTTGAAATACTTTTGAAATGAGGACTGTGACTTCTATAGAGATAGTGGTAGATTTAATGTTAAGTTCACTTCCTGTTCTAATCCATTCATCTTGCATTATCTATTTTAACAGAACAAAATAGTGAAGTCTATATCACAGAACCGTGGAGATACTTGTTTGGGTCTGTTATGTTTTTATTTGTTTGCTTTCTGCTTATTCCCAGTCACTGAAGAAAGTTGGCAAAGATTCCACTGTCTTACTAATCTGCATCACCGTGTTCCTTTCATACCTTCCGGAAGCTGGGCAGTATTCCAGTTTTTTTCTCTATCTCAGGCAGGTAAGTGCTAGATGCCTCATTGCCCCCAAACATGAGGAATATCAAAGATTGATATTTGGCAACAGTTAATTTGGGGTAACCACTGTAGAGAAGAAAATGTAAACTTGCTTTTAGTTATAAATGTGATGACAGAGAATTAGTAAATAGGGACCTATAGTACAGTGATAACTTAAAAGATAGGAAAAGGCCAGGGTGGGACAGCCACAGTCCCAGCTGCTCTCAAGGTCAAGTTAGCCCAGGAGTTAGAGACCAACCTGGCCAAGACAGCAAGACCCAATCTCAAGGAAAAAAATAGTAATAATAATAATAAAATATAATATAGTGAGATCCAGTGTGGGGAAAAAAATCCCTTAACAAGTAATACAGAGAGAGTACTATCAAAAACAGAATTTATCATAATTTTTCTACAGCAGGTTTAGGGTCACACAAAATTAAGAGGAAAGTACAAAGAGTTTCTGTATATCCCTGACCCAACAGATACACAGCCTTCCCTGCTGTCAGCAGCCTATCCCAGAGTGGTCTGTTTGTTACAGTTGAGGAACCTACATTGACACATTTATCATCATTCAGACTCTTTAGTTTATGCTATGGTTTACTCTTGGTGTTGTGTGTTCTGGGGGTTCAGACAAATGAATAGTGGCACATATCCATCATTACAGTGTGTGCACTTCATGGACCTCAAAGTGGTCCACAAGCAACAATCTGAGGTTTTCCTCTTCTGTTTTTTTTTTTTTCTCTTTAAAAAAATTGACCACCAAAATAGGTCACTGACTATTGTCAGTTTGAACTCAGAACCTTGTACCTGCTAGGCATGTGTTCTATCATTTGAGCCATGCCCCCAGCTTTATTTACTTTTCAGGTAGGGTCACACATGTTTTCCACATGGGCAGCCTCAGACCACAATACTCCTACCTATAGCCTCCTAAGTCGCTGGAATTACAGCACACACCACCATGCCCTGCTTATTAATTGAGATGGGTTCTTGCTCACTTTTAACCCCAGTAGGCCTCAAACCATGATCTTCACTATCCGCACTACCCAAGTACCTGGGATTATAGGCATGTACCAATGCACTTCCCAGTGCACACTTTTAAGAGCAGTTGACGCAAGCTGACAACTTAATTAAAATTACATTTGATGCTGAAATTCATATATTCAATCAGCTTTTTATATCCAGAATACATACAGGATTCTTGCAACTCAACAATAAAAAGATAACCCAATTGAAAAGATAAGCAAAGAACTTTGAATAGATTGATTCTTCAAGGAAGATATACAGAAGGCTCATCAGCATATGAAAAGACACACATCATTAGCCATCAAAACAACCATGAGCTGATACTTTACACACACTGGAATGGCTATAATAAAAAGCAAGGGTGTGGAAAAATCAGCCATCCTGCGTGCCGGTGGGAATGTAAAATGCTGTAGCCTCTGTGGAGAAGTCTAGCAATTCCTCAACACATTCAGTATAGAGGTTACCATACGACCCAGCAAGTCTTCCCTAGGCATATTTCCGTGAGAAAGGAAAACACATCAAATGCAGAAAATCGTACTCAGATCAGTACTCATGGTAGCAGAAAAGCAGAAACAACCCAAACATGCACCATCTAATGAACACATTAACAAATGTGGTCTCTTTATGCAATAGAATATTATTTGGCAATGGAAAGTAAGGAAGTACTAATATATGCTCCCAGGTGGTGAGCACACCTTGAAAACATAATTGAAAGAAGCTAGTCCAGAAGAACCACATCTTGCATGACTCCATTTATATAAAATGCCCAGAATAGACAGATCCATAAAGACAGGAAGTAGGTTTGTGCCTAGGGGAGGCCGGGCGGGGGGGGGGGCCTGGGGGTCAGGAGCTCCTAATGAGTACCAAATTTTTAAGGATGGTAAAAGTCTTCTAAAAGTGATTTTGGTGATGGTTACCCAACTCTGTGGGCACACTAAAACCTTTGAATTGTACACTAACAGTGGGTGAATTGTATGCTATTTAAATTCTAGTTCCATAAACCTGTATATATACACATTTACAAATATAGGCTGAGAGACATTCCTTCAGTAAAGCCACATTTTTAGGTTCTGATTTTTGTAATTGCATGGGCTTAGATAGTAAAAGAATGCTATTAATGTCATTGCCACTGCATTGGGAGCCAGAGGGTCTAGCCTAGGATTTTACTGCCTAGTTGTGTGAATGGGAACAAGACACTCATGTATGAAATGGGAAGAATATATAAGATAATTTAAGGGACTGTTTATGTATTTTATAGACTTTCAGTAGAGGATAAAATAATTTGTCCATTTTAAAACTTAAGAATTTAAGGCATTTCAAAGGTACTGTTAGGGTGAGAGGCTTAGAAGCCGTTGCTAGCCTACTGCAGCTGCTTGCTCTTCAGAAGAGCTGAGGGAGCTTCTTAGAATATCCTCGTGTCTGGGGAACACCCCAGAGGATCTGAAGTAATTGGTCTCCTGAGGGCTCTGGCATCTTACTGCTTCCCTCCTTTCCCTTCTCTGCTGCCCACATGACTTTAATGCCACCTGAGTTGAGAGGCACTGGCTTCACTGATGAGGACATTCTGGATTGGCAGCATCTTTCATATTGTCTTTACTACATGTTATTGTACATTTGTTGATTGGTGGGTTGGAGGTGGAGGGGAAGATGAAAATAGGTATAATAAAAATGTTTAAAAATATTTCACAATTTAAGTTATGCCTGCTTCTAGTGATTTCTCCTATCAGATTATCTCTATCACTAAAGTGCTGTCTTCCATTTCCATAGGTCATAGGTTTTGGATCTGTTAAAATTGCAGCATTCATAGCTATGGTAGGAATTCTGTCCATTGTAGCTCAGGTGAGTGTTATTTCACCTCTACTTTTCTTTAAGTTTTGTTTTTAATCTGACAGGCCCTGCTTCCTGAGGATCTCCTGCTATGGGACACTTGTACAACTAGAATATAACATCAAGTCCAGGAATCTGACTCATAGACCCATTCCTTCTTGACATAATGTTGAGGTCAGGATTAGGAGGAATTTCATTTCATAAAACTTTCAATAAGACTATTTGGAACTTCTGCCAGATCAATTCTTTCATTTGCTTTTAAAATAACTGAAGTTGTAAAAAATTACAAAATAGCTTTTAAATATTGAAAAATTAACTAAGAGAATGTTTCAGTATTACTTTAGTAGTGAAAAGGAAATAGAAATGAATAGCAATAACTGTTCTAGGTCTGTGTCTCCAGGACTAAATAAAATGAATCATCATATTAGGATATACATAGGATTAAATTTTTCCTATCTGTTATAAATACGGAATCACAAAAGACAGGTCACATGTACTTTATATTAATTACATGCTATCGTGCTTAGGTGCATTCAGTATTTGTTCCAGGACAGCCTAGGGGACTGCCTTGAAATGGCCACCAGGCCAAGGAGAGCTATTCTGTGGCTAATGCTTTCTGGAAGAACAAGAATGCTGCAAAATTCTTTCTCTAAGGCCTTTTGTTGTTATTTTTACTCTATAAGCAAATGTTAAACATTGGTCCTGATTTTGGTTTGTTTTTTACATTAACTCTAGTCTGTTAGCCCAGAGGTTTCTTTTACCTCACTCCATATCAGACTATCCCAACTAGTTACAGAGTATGTATTTATTAAAATCAAATTTACACCAATCCCAGCTTTTGTAAGACTGTTAAACTCCAGCAAAACTCCACATCTTCTTTAAATGTTCATCAGGGTTTACTGTTCTCCCATTGTTAAGTGCTTGGCATTTCTCCAGAGTCCTTCTCAGTCATCATAACTGGTAAATGGCTGACATAACCTTTTGGGAAGTGTCAGCAGGCTTCTCTGGAAGAAGGCCAAGAGCCCCGAATCCTAGGTCAGGGCTTAAGCCCCTGAAACTCTCCCCTTGCCCAGCCACTGAGGTCATAGGCAGGCAGCGTTCCCTCAGCAGTCTTTGGTCATCAGCGAATGAGTTATACTCTCAGAGAACACATTCTGAATTCAACCTTGCATTCACATTCATGTGCTCACATTTCTTGGGGTTGCCCCTTTTTCTTTACAGACAGTCTTTCTTAGCATCTTGATGAGATCGTTGGGAAATAAGAATACTGTCCTCCTTGGCTTGGGCTTCCAGATGCTCCAGTTGGCCTGGTATGGGTTTGGATCCCAGGCATGGTAAGCCTCACCCTTAGATTCTCATGAAATTAGCAGAGCTGATGTGTCTTAGAGAGGAGCTCAAGCTGGCTGAGTGTGATGAGAAGAATCAGGTTATTTCACTGGTTTGCTATACTCACCATTTCAGAAACCTTCAGGCTTCATGTTAGGCAAGGGTGGAGCTAGATAATTCAAGATGACTTGTAAAGCTTGCCTATACCTCATCAGGCCTTCACTGAATCATTGCTTAACTGAAGTGTGTCCCTCTTCCCTCAGCCCTCCAATAAAGTTTTATGTCTGTTTTTTAAGCACATTTGTTAATTCTTAGGGGTATCACCTACATTCAAAACAAAAAGACAAGTAAAAATGACTGATTATAGTAAGCCTCATCCACATAATTAACTGAGTGACCTTAAGCAATAATAGATATTGTGAAGTAAAGCATTTGAGTTTGGTGAACACTTAGATCTCCTCCAAAACCATGTGTATCCTGAGGCAGTTTTTAGTGCCTCGTTTTAATTCCCATAAACAGGAAGCAAGGTCAGAATAAGCCCTGTGGAATAAAAAGGAACAAAAAGAATCCTGAGCTCCATTTTGTTTTGTGGTTGCCAAATACTGCAGTCCCTGGCTCCATTTTAGACACCAGAGTTGTCCCCATTTTGCATATATACATGGCAGGCATAATTTAGAGAATTGATATGCTTCAGTGGCCAGAGGTTGGTTAATTGGGGAACAAAAAATAGGAAATTCTGTATTTCTTCAGAACACTCGCTCTTCCTGGGTGATGTTGTGCCTAAGGCTAACTTGGTTTTTTTTTTTCCTTTGTGGCATTGGGATTTAGAACTTAGGCTCAGGGCCTTGTACTTATTAGGCAGACGTTCTTCCTGCTTGAGCCACTCTGCCAACCCTGGTTGGTTCTTTTTTATTTTGGTCCTGTGAACCGTGGTCATTGGCCAATTCAGTCAAGACTCTTGCAGTATTAAAAAGACTTTGTCAGCATAAAGAGTTTTTATTTTTCAGTGGAACCATTCCAAGGAAGTCTGGCCCAGTGGGTCATAAGTGCATTTGGGCCTCACTTTATTCACACTCACACTTCATATTGCCTACAGACTCACACATAAGCCTTTCATTGAGAAAAGGAAAAGATTTGAGGGAATTGGGCTCTGTTTGTTCATTTGATGGCACACTGCACTGTCAAAAGCTAGCAGGCTGCGCAGCTCAAGGGCAGTGTGAAGTGAGCCTTCGAGAAATACAAAACAGATTGGAAAAATCAGTGGAGAAATGTGGTATTTATAGAAACAAGAGAAGTCCTCTTAAGAACTTCATTGATCAGGTATGGCAGCATATGTCTAATCCCATCTACTTGTGAGATGAAGACAGGAAGATTACAGTTCAAGGCCAGCCTGGGCAAAAGCTAGATTCTATCTCAAAAACAAGCTGGACATGAATTTTTAAAGAGCAAAAAATAAAAGCGAACATGAGAAAACAGAAGACGTTTGTACTTCTGCCACGAGTTCCTGGGTCTGACCACAGTCTCTCCTGTCGTCGTAGGATGATGTGGGCAGCAGGGACTGTGGCCGCCATGTCCAGCATCACGTTCCCGGCAGTCAGTGCCCTCGTCTCTCAGAACGCAGAGTCCGATCAGCAAGGTGAGGTTGTGGTCCTTGCTGTTTCCACCTTTAGCTGGGACTTCCCTGCCCAGAAGCACGAAGCCCTGAGCTCTCACATCGAGAGCAAGAGTGACAGCCCAGTGGTCCCTGCAAGAAGCATACCTGCTTACTTTGTCATACTTTAAACGTAAACTCAACAGGTCATGTTATCAAGAGTTAGAAAATACCCGTTTTCCTTCTTCAGCTTTGACTCCTTTTGTCCAGTTGTATCAGGTTTGAGCTGACTGTAATCGCATTTCAACAGATTGCTATTAAATGATAGCTGGTTACCAATGAGGTACTCATTAAATCACTACAATTTCTTTAATTTGAAATAATGAAAAGTCTGTGAACTTATTTGAGGAAGTGATTCTTTTGGAGGATAAGGGAAGTCCATGTGATTGTTGGTAATTAGATACAGTAGTGACAGGTAAGTTCTGACTGCTGTGTGGAGGGCAGACAGGCCATCAACCTTCTGCACTTCCACTTCCCAATCAGGTGGTCACTGCCAGAGCTAACCCTTTCCTTCTTCATCTCCTGATGACTTACCTTCCTGTAGTCAGCAAGTAGTGAGTTTTAGAGGATGTACTGTGTATGAATGTATACAAACATGTATGCAAACATACATGTCTACACCTGTGCATACGTGCATGTGTATGCAACTTGTGCGATCAAATTCAGGGCCTCACACATGCTAGAAAAGCACTCATAGTTAAAAGAAAAGAAAGCAATTAGCCACAAATCTGTGCATCACTTCTGGCTGCAGGAACTCAGCAGGCTGTGTGTCCTCAGGGAGATGTGTCTGGAGTGAAGTCCTGAGCCATCTGCAGAGGACTGTCCTGTCTTTCGGGACATGAAATGTCTTTGATGATTTTTATGCTTATTCAGATTAGTACAAGTGTTTAAAGTATCAACATACAAAACTTTTGGATTACATTGTATTAGGCCAAATCATATTTGACTATTTCTGAGACAGAGAGATACCCATTTCACATGGTTCAGGCTAATTTTTGCCTGCCATGTTAGGAAGGTGAGAAATCTCAAAATTGGCACTTGTGGAATTTTTCAGTGCACACCTGTTCTGAAATGGGCCTGGAATGCAGGTGCAGTTGTGAGCACTGAGTCTGCCTGAAGGTGTGCAGAGAGGAGGTGCTGCTTTGTATTCACATGGCCAAGGCTGTTGAGGCCAAAGGCAGATTTTTATTGGAAATGCACCATTAAATGAGCCAAGCAAGGAAATCTCAATCTGTAGCATAATGGATACTACCTGAAATGGAAATGCTAATTTCATATTTTATTATTCCTCATTTAAGGGCAGATCTAATCTAAAAAGATTTCAGAAACAGATCACTGTCATTTGGTCTCTCATAGACCTTAGTAGGTAGAGTGAGGGCAGCATTAAATGGACATAATAAAACCGAGAGAAGGTTTGTGTGATGAATGAAGATGTGATAAACAGCAGGTCTTCCTAGCCCACTTTTCTCAGCACGCTTTGCGCTCGATGCAACAGATCTGTGTGTTGTAGTACGCAGTGCTGAGCCGCACACCTTGCAAAGCTGTCCAGAGAAGGCTGATGCCCCCTCTTTGTTCTGTTCAGGAGTTGCCCAGGGAATCATAACTGGAATACGCGGACTGTGCAATGGCCTGGGGCCGGCACTGTACGGCTTCATATTCTACATGTTCCATGTGGAGCTATCGGAGCTGGGCCCAGAGTTGACTTCAGATGATGATGCCCTACAGGTAACAGTAGTGAGTCCAGCTCTAGCAAAATCTTGGGACCTTGAATTTAGTTTTCTTACTTGTATATCGTTATTGAAGTTGACAGCAGTAAGTTCTGTGTTCACTGCCTCCTGAGTCAGGAAGGGATCATTTCAGAGATTTAATATCTTTATATAGACATTTTGTCTTAACTTTATCCAGATTCTGTTTTTACCTACACAGTCACTCTGATCAGGATGTTGTTCTCTGGCTAAGATCAGGCTAAATAAAATATAAGATAACCTGAAAATCTAGCTAAAAGTTGAGTGACAGTGCTTTTTCTGTTGTTTTTTGAAAAGAGAGGTTCAGTACAGGTTTCTCTGTAACACTGGAATTGGTAATGCTCATGTACATGCACATGACCTGAGGCCACAGAGCAAGATTGCAGGTAAATGTCTGCTGCTTTTATAGGCCTAGAAGCAGAGATGAGTCACTCTGTGTTGTGTTCCAAACCCTAAGCTCTGTTAGAGAGTGCATTGACGTTTACTGAGTGCTTACGAGAAAATAAGTCACTTTTTGGTAGTGTGTTTTTTTAGGTCATCCAAGGCTAATATTGGGTTAAACAACTAAACCAAATTGGGACAGTCCCAGCACTCAGGTGGAGACAGGAGGAGATCATGAGTTCAAGCCCAGCCTGGGCTACAGTGAGACCATCTCAAAAAAAGAAAAAATAAACTAACCAAACTCCTCTTTGTGCTTGTTTCCCACCTCTACCAGGGAGCTCTCATCCCAGGCCCACCATTTTTATTTGGAGCATGTATAGTTCTTATGTCTTTTCTGGTTGCCTTATTCATCCCTGAATACCATAAAGCGAGTGGGGTTCAGAAACACAGCAGCAGCATCAGTGGCAACTTGACCAACACCCCGGAACAGGGCAGTGATGAGGACATTGAGCCACTGCTGCAAGACAGCAGCATCTGGGAGCTCTCCTCCTTTGAAGAACCTGGGAACCAGAGCACTGAGCTGTGAGTCTGCAGAAGAGGGATTCCGCAGGCATCATCTCTGAGACGAGCAGGGAGCCACACCACACGGAGACCCATGGTGCTGGAGGGCGATGCTAGCAGCATCCTTCGGGCCAAGTTTAATAAGTGACCCTGTGTCCCCCACCCTCACTCCTCCCCTCCTCCTCTTCTTTTTCTTCCATTCTTTTCCGTTATGTTTGTACATTAGAACAAGGTAAGATTCAAAAAACTTCCCTGCAAATAATGTACAACTCACAAGGTTATCTGGAGTCTAAACTTTGAAACTCAAATGGAAAAAGTCCTGTCTCTACTAGAAGGAGCAGGAGTGACAGCAGGGTCTCAGTGCCCTTGTTTAGCAGAAGGTGCAGGCGGTAGTGGAACTGCCATCTTGGGCACAACTTCAGGTACAGAATCCTTTATTTCCTTCCCTTTTCTCAGAATTATTCCTGCTTACCCCATAGGTGTTGAGCAACCCCTGTTAAGAGTCACTCAGGATCTGGGATTTATTTCCTTTGTCCAAAGGTCAAAGGAAACCTAGTTTTACTCTCCCTTTATTTTCTCTCCTTATGCTTGTCTAAAATGAACATGGGTAATACTGATCAATGATCACCTTGGCCAGATAAAGGAAATCCTTCTTACAAATTCAAATCATGTTGAATTAACAACTCAAATTCCTGGACCTAGTATCCTACTCTATCCAAGATGATTTTACAGAAGAAAAAAATACATCAAGCCAGGTGTGGTGGTGCACCTCTCTAATCCCAGCTACTTGGGAGGCTAAGGCAAGAGGATTATGAATTGAAGGCCAGCCTAGGCAACATAGTTAGACCTCATCTCAAAAAAAAAGCATTCTAGTGGCAACAAAGAAATTGGAGGATGCTTCTAAGAAAGTGTTGAGTTAGGCCAGGCCAGCCATGGAGCTTGTGTCCACATTCAGATTCATCACCCGGTGTCACTGTTTGCTCCTCCCCACGTCTCCCTGCACTGCTTCACGGCTTTTCTCATCATCACACTCCTGCCTTAACTGTCGTGTAGTATGCATTTGTTCTCCATCTTTATCTTCATCTGTTTGTCTGACTTTGGAATCTCATGGGAACACGCACATCAACTTACTTTCTGAGCTGTGGGGTTTAGTGATGCTCAGCTCACAACAAGTGTCTTGCTAACTTTTTGAGATGTTTTATGGACAGAGAAATCTTTACAGATTTATATGTATTTTGCTGCACAGTAAATGGACCGTTAACTAGGGCCCACCTTTAACAAAGCACTCCTTTGAAAGTTTTATAGGTGTGAAATACATGTAGATATTTGTAAGGGTTTTACTTTTTTTGATGGGGTGCTGTGTAAATCTTGTATTTATAAATGTAATGAAGGTATTGACAGAAAAAATATATACAACTTTTATAAAGGATTGTGTACTGACTGAATACATTTAAAAGAAAATATATTTTGAAACCTGTTCTGCCATGAACAGAGATAACATATCTTTTTACTATGCTGTTGGTTTTTAGGTTATGCTTCCTAATGCATAATAAATTTGCAATGGATACTTTTATGTCTTTTGTGTTTTTTAAAAACAAATTGTACCAGTACTCTTTTGGGTGGCTGCTAACTAAATTGAGTTGGTAATCCTTCAGCTAATACAAAAGGGGTGTGTGTGTGTGTGTGTTCAAAAAAATGTTTTTAACAGGTTCCCTCCCTTGAAAAACAGATTATAATTATTTTTATTTTAAAAAGTAAGCTGGGTGTGGTCGCCCATGCCTGTAATCCTGGCTACTTGGGAGGGTAGAGATCAGGGGGATCGTGGTTCTAGGCTAGGTGGGGCAAAAAGTTGGCAAGACCTTATTTCAGCCAACAAAAGCAGGGTGTGGTGTGCATCTGTGATCCCAGCTATGCAGGAGGCGTAAATAACAGGCTGGCTCAGGCATACAGTAAGACCCTATATTGAAAATAAGCAAAGCAAAAGGTCTGGGAGTGTGGTTCAAGTGGTGAAGCACCTGTGCAGCAAGTGCAAGGCCTGAGTTCACTGTGCTAAGTGAAGTAAGATACAAAAGGGCAAATACTGCACGACTTCACTTGTGAGGCCCTAGAGTAGTCAGGTGTAGAAAGACGGAAGGTAGGAGACAGTGTTGCCGGGGTTGGGGTGGGAGAAGGGAACTTGTTTAACAGGCAGTTTCCTTCAGCAGTATGAGAAGCTCTGGGATGGTGGTAGTGGCTGTGTAACAATATGCATATGCTTTGTTACCACTAAAATGACTCAAATAGTTAACATTCTGTATATTTCATCACAATTTTTAAATGCTCTCATAGCATAAGTTATCAAATTCACCACTTTAGCCATTCTAAAGTGATTTCTATATATTCACAATATTACATGACTATCCACACTAATTCTTGAACATCTCCATCACCCCCAAAAAGAAATTCCGTATCTATCAGCAGCCATTCCCAATTCTTCCTTCCCCCTCATCTGACAACCAGAACTCTACCGTATATCTCCAGGGGCTTACCTATTTGGCAGCATTTCATATCTCTTTTTTTTTTTGTTCAGCAGCACTAGGTTTGAACTCAGGGTCTTGTGCTTGCTAGGCAGGCACTCTACTGCTTGAGCCACACCCCCAGCCCGTTTGGCAGTACTTCATGTGAATGTGATCATACAATGTGTGACCTCTAAGTCTGGTTCTTACACTTAATATGTTTTCAAGTTTCATGTATATTGTAGCATGTGTCAAAATTTTATTCCTTTTTAAAGCCAAATAACACAATATTCATGTGTGTGTGTGTATGTGTACTTTTTGGTTGTTAAAACAATGCAGCTGTGAGCATTCGTGTATAAGTTGGTTGTGTGAGCAGATGTACATGTGGGAGTGTAATTATTGGGCTTTGTGGTTATTCTACGTCTCACTGTTTGAGGAAGCACTGGGAGGTTTTCTGTAGTCACTGCACACTTGAATTTCCATCAGCAGCAGTGTAGGAAGGGTTCAGCTTCTCCATGTCATAGCCAGTACTTGCTGTCTTCTGTTTTGTTGTTTAAAGCCATCCTGGTGGATTTAAAGTGGTGTCATTGCAGTTTGGCTTGTGATTCCCTAATAACTAATAACTAGTGGTCTTGGGCATCTTTACAGTGGCTTTTTTGCCATTTATACAGTTTCTTTGGAGAAGTCTGTTCAAGGCCTGTGTCTGTTTTTTCAATTAGGTTATTTTAAATTTTTTTTTGCATATTCTGGATACTAGACCCTTACCAGATACATGGTAGAGTCCACTGATGACAAAAGTTTAAAATTTTGCTCACATCCCATTTGTCTACCTTTTCTTTTGTTTTTTAAGCTTTGGGTATCATATCTTAAAACATTTCCAAATCCAAGTCATGCAGATTTTCTTAGTTTTAGTTCACGCATCTTGTATTAATTGTGTGTATGGTATCAGGCCGGGGTCCTGTTTCAATCTTTTGCATGTGGATATTAATGGTGCCTTACTTGTCAAAAAGACTTCTTTCCTTTTTGAATGGCCTTTGAACCCTTGTCAAATATCAAATAACTAGAGAAGGATGGGTTTGTTTCTGTACTTTTAATTCTATTCCATTGGTCTAAGTGTTAGTCTTTATGTTAATACTATACAACTTTTATTACTATAACTTTATGGTAAGTTTTGATTTTTTTTTTTTTTTCTGACAGTGCTGAGGATTGAACCCAGGGCCTTGCACTTGCTAGGCAAGCACTCGATCACTGAGCTACATCTCCATCCCTACAGTCAATTTCAAAAACTGGAAATGTGAGTTTTCCAACTTTGTTCTTTTTCAGCATTGTTTTAGCTATTTGGTATCATTTTTAATTCCATATGAATTTTAGTTTTCATTTTTCCAGTTTTCTGCCAAGTGAAAAATGGCTGCTGGAGCCAGGTGCAGGTGGCTCACACCTGTAATCCTAGCTTCTTGGGAGACTGAGATTTGAAGAATCAGCAAAGAGCTTGAAAGACCCCCATCTCCACAATAACCAGGGAAAAGTGGACTGGAGGTGTGGCTCAAGCACTAGAGCACCTGCTTTGCAAGCATCAAGCCCTGAGTTCAAACCCCAGTCTCACTAAAAAAGAAAAAAAGCTGTTGGCCAGTACAGTACATTGCTGAGTAGCATGGGAAGATCAGGAATCTTTGTCTCGTTCCGGATCTTAAGGGGAACCATTGAATACAGTCATACATTATGTAACAACAGGGATATATTCTGAGAAGTGTGTCTGTAGGCATGTAAACATCACAAAGTGTACTTAGACAAATCTAGATGGCGTGGTCATCTAGGTTGTTCAGTCGACTTTTGGCCAACATCATTGTGTGGTCCATGACTATTTATTGGGTTTTTCATAAGTACTCTATGATGTCACGGAACGTCCCCTCCATGCCTAGTTTGTTGAATGTTTTTATTGTGAAAGAGTGTGTGCTAGATTTTTCATCACTGAGACAAATACTAGAGAGAAACAATTTAAAAGTAGGAAACATTTATTTTGGCTCACTGCTTCAGAGGTTTTAGTTAATAGTCGGCTGAATCCATTGCTTTGGACCTGAGGTAGGACAGGACGTGATGGTGGGAGTGAGGGCCAGAGGCTGCTCACTTCATGGGAGGCAGAATGGGGCAGGGGTCAAGATACATCTTTCCAGGGCATACCCTTAGTGACCTACTTCCTCCAACTAGGCCCACTCCCAATAATGCCATCATTATGAATCCATCAATGGATTAACCTATTGATCAGGTCAGAGCCTTCAGTATCCAGTCACTTACAAAAGCCCATCAGCTGGCAACCAAGACTTTTTTTTTTCTTAAACTTTTGGTGTGACTGGGGTTTGAATTCAGGACTTCTTGCTTACAAAGCAGGCAGGTGCTCTACCACTTGAGCCACATCGCCAGTCCATATTTTGCTCTGGTTTTTCTGAAGATGGGGGAGGGTCCTCTCAAACTATTTGTCTGGGCTGGCCTTGAACCACAGTCCCCTCCAATCTCAGCCTCCTAAGTACCTAGGATTACAGGTATAAGCTACTGGCACCTGGCTAGCAACTAAGACTATTTTAACGCATGAGCCTTTTGGGGGACATTTCATGTTCAAACCATAACAGAAGGTTGGATTTTTTTTTCTAATGCTTTTTTTCCTCATCAATTGAGAAGGCTGATGGGTGGGCTTTCCTTTATTAATGTAATATATTTTGTTTTCTTTTTTGTTTTTGTTTTTTGAAACAAGGTCTATGTAGCCCAAGCTGGCCTCCAACCCTGAACCTCCTGCCTCACTTCCCTAGTGCTGGAATGACAGGCAGGTGCCACCACGTCCAGTTTAGTTTTAATAGTAAGATAAATCCCATTTAGCCGTGATGCTTAACTTTTAATATGCCGTTGGGTTTGATACGGTAGTGGGATTATTCCTGAAGATTTTGCATCTATATTCATGAGGCTATTGGTCTGTAGTTTGGTATACTTGAAATATCTTTCAGCAATGATTCAAGGGTCACCTTCCTCAGCAGGCCTGACTTTGGGGGGCTGGAAGGAAAGTCATGAGTGCTAACAGGCATCTCATGGAATCCCCGGGTCTCCAGACATAGCTCTTTTCCTCCATTGGTGTCAGCAAACCCATTTTTTCCTTGGGAATCAGTCATGCCAGCCAAGAGCAATTCCTTGTTTACTTCTGCTTCAGTAGCATAGGGAAGCCAACATAGGCAAATGACTGCTCTTCCAGTCAGAGGAAGCACCATGACTCACTCCCCAGCAGTGCGCGGGCTCGCAGAGGTGGGTTAGCAGGTGCGGATTTGGGCTCTGACAGGTACCTTACCTTTGACTCAAAGCAGATGTTATATCCTGTTAGAAACCCATCTTTTAAGATTTGGGGTTTTTATTTTGAATTTTAAAATGTTTTGTTGTATAGAATAAGAGCATTTTATTGCATAAAGTGTTTGAAATTAAAACTTTACAGCATTTGAAACAGTGAGTGAATGATTGCACAGAATAGTTGGATTTAATTTAAAAACATATTTCTATAAGCATATATCAATTGAAGAATTAAATTCATTCAAAATAAGGCATAAATCTAACAAAATATGTAGAAAACCATAAAATCCTATTCAAAGAAATCAAAGACGACCTATGTTAGTGGAGACAGTCAGCAAGGTAAAACTGTTAGTCCCCAAACCAGTTATCTATAGAGTTACCCTAATTCTTACCAAAATCCCAGCATGACTGTTGCAGATGTAGACAAGCTACAAAACTCATACGGAAAACAGGAGTAGCTACAGCAATTTTAAAAAAGGGTAAAGGGACATCACCATCACTCAATTTGAAGACTTACTCTGTAGCTATAGTAATCCAGATACCAGTGTCAGAGGAGGGACAGATGAATCCATGGGACAAAGGAGAGAATCCAGAAATTGCCACCCAAGTGCAGCTCACTGATGACTACATCATCATCATCATTATTGGCAGTACTAGGGTTTAAACTCGGGGACTTCTGCTTGCTGGCAGATGCTCTACCACTTGAGCCACCCTGCCAGCCCCACCCAACTGGCTTTTGACAAAGGTACAAAAGAAGACGAGGGGACTCATGGGAAGCAAGGTCAGGAGGTGGAATGTTAATGTGTGGAGTTTGACTTGGAATGAGAATAAAGTCTTGCATTCTCTGAAGTTTATAAAAAGGAAGGAACATGCGGAAAATGTTTTCATAAACCCACGGAGTGGGAAGAGTGATGTGGAGGTTGTTAATTCACACCGGAGCGTGGATTTTCCTTTCCAACCCCACCTGAGGTTGGCTTCATTAAATCGAATCATTTAGGATGCATAAGAATGCAGAACATTAAAGATGAATGCATTACAAACCACTTTAAGTCAAGTGTATTTAATATCTAAGGTTTTCATTTCCTGTGGCTTTATTGGTTGTACATTTATAAGTGTTTTCATAGACATTGTTACCATCTTTTAAAAACTTACTGGTACTTGTCTTGAAAAACTGAAATCATTTTGAATCATTGTGTTCTGTGCTGCATTGACCACTAGATGGCATTTGTCGGTAATTTTATTTATTTATTTATTTATTTACTTATTTTTTAAGGTTAGGCCCAAAGCAGCAGATGTCAACTATCCAAGACTAACTGTACTCGGTGTGCTGTGTTTTAGATCTCCAGAATTTATTCATCTTCTAATTAAAAACTCATACCTATTGACCAACACCCCTCCCAAATTTCCCCCATATCTCAGCACCTGCTAACCACTGATCTTTTTATGAAACAGAGGTAAGTGTTTCTCTCTGGTGGATTCCATACATGAGACCTTGTGGTGTCTCTCTGTGCCTGGCTTATTTCACTTCATGTTGTCCCAAATGACTAGGACAAAAGGTGAGGGAGAAAAAGAGTCAATTCTCAACCCCAGAGAGATGGAGACTCCCGTTACCATGCTCCATGGTAGCTAATAGGTTGCAAGCCCACCTGAGTAGCCCATCAGACTCCTTGGGCTTTTTCAAAATAGGCGGACTCCCAAGAACCTGCTGAGAGTGACAGTCCTGCCCAGAGGACTCATGCCATCACTTGCTCCTTGACGGCAGTTGCTGAGATCTCTCTGTGTCTCAGACATCGCTCAAGGGATGGCACTGGTAGCACCCAGGTTAAAGCCCTCCCCATGCTGTTTCTGTGTTCTTGATGTTTTCCAGCATCTTCTCAAATGCCTGTCACCAAGCAGATTCTAGTTTAGTTTACTTTCTATGAACATGATGAGGTGTTAGGGATTACAAAAGCAGCTTCAGCATTTTCTATATTTAAGCCATTGATCTTCACAAAAGCCTTGTGAAGCCTTGTGAAGTGCTACTGGAGTAAATGAAGCTGAAAGATACGTGTTGAGTAGAGAAACGCCAAGTTGTATTGAAACCTAGTATTTGACTGCTCCTGAGGCCTTGGGCAAAACACTTGATTTCCCCTAAGAGGTGCTGTTCTCTTACAGGAAGGACTATTTTAAGGTTTGATGACAAAAATTGAGACTTCTGACTTAAACAGTTAGTTTCCCTTATGCAGAAGTAACGTTTTGAAGGTTTTTTTTAATAGCTTTGCTTCCAGTGTTCTGCTTCAAGTATATGGTAACTAAGAATGTCATCTGATGCTATATATTGGCTTCCCACAATAGTCAGTCAGCTTGTATGGTAGCTCAGGGCTTAAGAGAAAGTGTTCCCAGGAACAAGGAAGTCAATGACCTTTTATGACCTAGCCATAGAAGTCATAGGCAGCTGGGAAAACGATATCCACATGTAGAAGACTAAAACCAGATCCCTCTGTCTTTCACTCTGTACCAAAATCAACTCAAAATTGATCAAAGACCTTTGAAACTTTGAAACAGCTCCAGGAAGTAGTAGGAAATATAGTGGAACATATAAGTATAGGGAACGACTTCCTAAACAGAACTCAAAAGGCTCAGCATCTAAGAGAAAGAATGAACAAATGGGACTGCATCAAACTAAAGAGCTTCTGCACAGCAAAGGAAACAGTCACCAGACTCAAGAGACAGCCCACAGAATAGTCAGCTGTCTTTGCCAGCTACGTATCCGCTAAGGGACTAATATCCAGAATCTACAAGGAATTCAAAAAACTCAACTCCCAAAGAATCAACATCCCAATGAAGAAATGGACACATGAACTAAACAGGGAATTCTCAAAGGGAAAGGTACAAATGGCCAGTAAATACAAAGTGTTCAGCTTCTGTGGTTATAAAAGATGCAAATCAAAACAACACTTAGATTTCATCTCACCCCAGTTAGAATGGCCAGAATCAAGGGCAATAATAACAACAAATGCTGGTGAGGATGCAGTAAAGTAGGAACCCTTACACACTGCTAGTGGGAATGCAAATTAGTACAATCACTAGGGAAAGCAATATGGAGATTCCTCAAAAAGTGAAAGATAGAACTGCCATATGATCCAGTGATACTGCTCCTGGTCTTCTACCTAAAGGAACACAAGACAGGATACAATAGAGACACCTGTGCACTGATGTTCATCACAGCACCATTCACAATAGCCAAGCTCTGGAAACAACCATCGATGCCCTACAACTGTCGAATGGATCAAGAATAATGATATGTGGTTTGAAGGTAAATGGATACAATTGGAGGATATCATGTTATGTGAAGTAAGCCAGGCTCAGAAAGACAAAGGCCACATATTTTTTTTCATATGTGGAAGATAGATCCAAGATATATGCATATACACAAAACAATCATAAACAAAGTCAGTTGTAGAACATGTTTGTAACAGTTGAACTACTACTCTATGGAGCTCCGGGAAAGAGGGAAAGGAAAAGAGAATGATAGAGCATCAGTAATATCGCATACCATAAAGATGTGAAGGTAGAGGATGTAAGGGTGTGTATTAAAAGCTGTTGAGAGATGGGGGGTAGGAGGTAAAGGGTTAAGAGTTAAGGGAGAGAATTAGAACTGAACAGACCAAAGTAAAGTATAACCACAGTGGGCATACATTGAGACACCCCTTTGAACATCAACTTAAATATTAGTAATGAATGACAGAACTGTAGATAGGTACAGTGTGTGGGGGGTACTGGTGGGAGGAGAGAGAAGGAAATTAAGGTGATGGTATATATGGCAGATGAACTTCATATACTTATATAAAATAGAACTAAGAAACCTTGCAAATGCTTTAAGTGGGGTGGGGAGGGGGCTGAGGTGGAGAGACGATGGGGGCAATATAAATAATGTACAACATAAGTCTAATTGGAATTGTCACTATGAATCCCCCCTGTATAATGAATATATCCTAATTAAAAAAAAAAAGCCAGACATCATTGCTACCATACTGTGTTGTTG